TCCATATTAATATGTTTATTAATTTGCAAAACCATTGTCGGAATATTCACAACATAAACGCTCTGTAAAAGATGCTTTCCAACTAGTACTCATTTGAAGATTAACCGTTGATTCTGCAGTGTGTCCTTGATCGGTATAGTATACGATACTGAGCACAACATATGTAAAGGAATTTGATCGGATTTGCATAAAGCTAAAGACATTCCTTATCCTCGTAGATAAAGGAATTTAGGTCTACGCATATTTTGTAGCAGAAACAGAGATACGATACTTAATGCTTCAAGGAATTACATTTGCAAAATTAACTTTTATCTCCCACGATTGAATTTTTAGTTTGTTGAAGTTAAACGACAACAGATGTACGTTGAACTTTCTGTTGAAATCTCTTCAGTAGCTTTGGCGCATCCTCGGAATAAATATCAAAGGATTTATCTGTATGTGTAGCTACATGTATCTTTTTTATTGTGATTATTAAGCGAACAAGGAATTGGGTCAAATGAAAGCTGCAGGAGTGATTCATGAAATAATTAATCTCTCCAAGTCCCCTCTCCATCTAACTCTTCCGTGAGACTTCCTTTGAAACTTACACTATTTACATTTCCATAGCGATAAAATTTCCCGAATATTCATGCGACTCTATGTTTCATAATTTTCGGAAGCTCACAAAGGAAAGACGTAGTACAAAATAACTTGCAATACGATCTGTTTGATGTATTCATCTTTGACAATGATCAGAACTGGAAATAAAAGCTTGCAATTGTGGCGCTCTGCTTTCGCGTGACTGAACAATTTATATAATAATATGCGGACAAATTGTTCCACTTTTAGATGCATACATATTGGCTAAGACTGTGTGTCGAGACTATTATTCACTTCAACGAGCCTTTAAATCAGATTCTAACATGTTTTTTATGGAATTCAAAGTATAATCGGTGCCAAATGCACATGGCGGAGTGTATGTAGTATAATATTAACACGCGACATGCAATCTCAACATTCAACATTGCAAGCAAACAAGTAAATCCTTTCTCAAGGCAAGCATATTGATTTTCTTAAATAATACGTCCATACTGTTTTCTTAGCTCGATGTAGTAGCGTCTCTTTTTATTTATTCTTGATATATAAAATGCTTAACAGAGGATCAGAAAGCGAGACTATGTTTGAAGACCAAAGGAAAATTATTTCATACTTAAAAAAAATGTGGATAAGACCTGTTCGTTTATTTCCAAAAGACTATTTTGAATTTAATATCTACGTCTTACTGCTGAAAATAATAATTTTTAAAGCACTAATTATATAAATAAAATAAAATTTATTTTACGTTGATTGCATTCACATAAGCCGAAATGATGATAAAACTATTTTCAATTGCGGAGTGATAAATTTTTTTTTATTTATTATACATGTGTATACTTCTCTTCTCTTGTGTGTGTGTGTGTGTGTGTGTGTGTGTGCCTACATGTACCTACAATTTCTTAACTAGTTAACTTTTGTTTCCCTAATCACTTTTCCTTTGTTTCATTCTTACCTGTT